AATATTTACATAACCCTTAATTATTATTTAAATTGTAATTTATATAAAGTACATGGGTGTTCCATGGCAAAACAGTTACGCACTGCCTTGTGTGGACAGGATCGTAAGTTCGAACCCCCGCTCTGGATTGCCTGACATCATGCAGTAGTGATATCAATTTTCACTTGAAAATAACCCATTTCAGGCATTGCGGTGTGAAATGGCAATGGAAAATCCCTCACACTGTTCTTTGTTACCTACTAATATTTTCCATAATGTTTTTATAAAGCAACAGAGCTATTCTGTAAACTTGACTTCTCATATAAGAGCTATCTTTTGTTGAGAAAGAAAATTCAATAACTTTCGTATTTGACATTATAAAAGGTGAAACAAAGCTCTAAACTCAGCATTCTACTGAATTAACAGTAAAAAAACATATAGTGAAAGAAATTCTTATATTTTACAATAAAGTAAAAGAAATAATATCATAAACATCTTACTAAAAACGTGTAATATAGAGACAATAAAATAAGAATAACGTTTTGCGTAAATTCGATTTTTTTGTTTAATATTAAGCTTTTGCTAATGTAGGAATTTTTCATAATTATTTTTGTTATATACTATATGAAAATCAATCAGAAATTAAAGATCCATGGAGTACATAGTTTTTTATAGATGACAACCCAAACAGTTGTCCTATCTCTGTGTGATGATTTTTTTATTAAAAGTTGTGTAATATTGATGAATTTTTAATTGTTGCAGCAATGCCGGGTAAAAGCAATTTTCAACCGAAAACCGATAACACTACTGCTTGACATCAGGATGCCCGAAGCTCTAATCCACGAGGGAGGCGTAAACTAAAAATTTCTGTCAATAATGGGGGCTTAAAGGTCCGCGGGTAAAAAGGTCCACCATCGATATCTTAAAAACAAGTAAAGTTAAAATTTTTGAACAATAATATTTGAAAGTAGAGGGTAAAAGGTGAATAACCATCAGCCATCATCTTGTTTCTTACGACGTTGCTATCGGGGGATAAACGGCAATATTTGAAAATCCATAACAAAAGTATTTTAATTCGTTGTTAGTTTTTTTAGTTGTGAGCACTGTTGTTTAGTTTACGAGACCTCAATATGGTTTTTGAGCATACGTTATTTACTTGTTTTATAAGATGTATTGTTAATTTTAAGTGAGATTCAACAGCTTTTTTATATAATTTCTAAAAAAAGCTTAAATTGGGTCGGATAAAAAAGACCAACTGAACCTTTACCCTGGCAAAGGTGAAATCAATAAAAAATAGTAATAAAAATGTAATTTCATCAAAAAAGCTATTTTACAATAAAATTGATTAAAATAGTAGTTATTCCAACGCTGCTGATGAATATTTCAGACAAAATTCCAGATCAAGGTTATACACAATATGCAAAAGTATCTTTGTAAAAAATGAAATTTATGACTTGGTTGAATATTGTAGCTATTATTTCGTAAAATCTTTTTAAAATTAAAAATAAAACATTGGATTTGTTTCAGGACCAGGTAAACACTTTTTTAAAAATAGAAAAAAAACATATTTCTACAATAATGAATTAGTTGGGTGATTTACTGAACATAGTCTGATAGTTCTTTGTGGTATTGTGGTATTTGTTAAGATGTAATTGATCAGAGTGAAATTCCTTTGTGACTCGCCCTACCCTATAAATATTCATAATGATATCAAGCCTTTGAACATCTGTGAAAATATCAGAAATTGCTCTTAAACATAACAAAAATCAGTAGAAATATTTTAGTTCTTTGACAAAAACAACACTCTATTATAGAGTCTTATATAATTTTGCTTCTACTGTCATCGATAGTTGATTTCTAACATTGAAATCCAAAGTCTAAAAAAATTCAGATTCGTTTTTTTTTCTGTATTTGCAAGAAAGTTTCAATTTTGTTCCTTTCACGTAATAAGAACGTGGTTTTACGTACGCGACCCCAAAGTTCAACGGAATTGATTAGAATATGGAGATCGCACATATACGTACAAGTCAATGTAATAAATGTAAATAATACTTCATAACATCAGGTTCAATATCAATATGCATATTCATATTATTATTAAGATATTGAAATTACCTGGGAAAGAGAAAGGCGACTTATAGTTTCTTTTTGAAAAAGTCCTGTAGTCTACGTTGAATTATAATACATATGCATATAAAAGTAATTTATTTTTATCAGAATAAAATAAAATAAAAAATGGTCCAAAAAATAAAAAAAAAATCTTAAGGGTGGCCAATCCTTGCCACTTATGGGTATAAAAAATAGATGATTCTCAGCCATACTAAACGTAATTATAAAAATTCATAAGAATGGGTCAAACCGTTTTGGATGAGTATTGCGACGAACATAACATGAGAATTTTATATATATATATATATATATATATATATATATCAGGGTAGTCCTTGATATGGACATTTCCAAATTTTATTGCTCCCAGGGGCTTAAATGGTTCCAAATTGATAAAAAACAGTTCTCTGAAAGTTTTAGCTCTTAATACTAACTTTTAGATAGTGCGCAATTCAATCGAACTTCGTATGGAAATAGCATGAAAAAAATTTTGAAAATTAGAAAAAAAAAATTATGTATAACTTAGCGACAAATGAATTAAAAGTAAAAATTCGTGTCATTTTTTATTGAAAATTCGACGCTCTACAAAACTGTTTTTTTATAATTTGTTTTGTAGAGCGTCGAATTTTGAATAAAATTATTTCTAAAAACATTTTTAAAATTTTTGAAAATTTTCCCATGCTATTACCATACAGAATTTTGATTGAATTGCGCACTATCTAAAATACAATATTAAGAGCTAAAACTTATAGAGGATTTTTTTTATCAATTTGGAAGCATTTGTGCCCCTGGGTGCAAGAAAATTCGAAAATGTCCATATTAAGGACCACCCTAATATATATATATATATATATATATATATATATATACTAGCAGACCCGGCAAACGTTGTTTTACCATGTAAAATATTTCTAGGACATTTCTATAGTAGTAAAAAAAAATACTAAATTACTATTAGCAAATTAGGAGCTTGTGGTTGGAGGGTAAAAATTTAGGACAGTATGTGATTTTTAACTGTGCATTACAACAAAAAATATCAAAGAAATGACCAAAAGAGTTCAAAAAAAGTTTTATGGTGAACTCTACATCTTTATTTTGTACAGTAAAATTTAAGCTTTTCTGCAGGCCCAAGAAAATCTGAATTAAATTTATAAAAAAAAAATAAAAAAAAAAAATCTCAAAATTCAAAAAAATATTAAAGGCGAACAACCCATAATTAGAAATGAGTTTTTTAAGTTAAATTTAAGTTTTTCATAAGTTTAAGAAAATTTTAGTAAAAATTGAGTTTGAAAACATTAATTAACTGAAAGTGGGATAAAGGATTATTCAATTACTAAAATGACTATTACGAAATAAGGGTTTACGAAAATAGGGTTGTTTTTGTTTTCAAATTAGGAATTATAAAAAAATACAGTAAAACAATTTGGTCCAAAAAATTAAAAAAAAAACATCTTGAGGGTGGCCAACCCTTGCCCCCGAATATCATATACTGAACGTGATTGTGAGATTTCATAAAAATCGGTCAAACCGTCTCGAGAAGTATTGCGACTATATATATATAACATATATACAATATACATATACATATACATATATTTATATATATACTATATATGTACACTATATATGTATACTATATATATATATATATATATATATATATATATATATATATATATATATATATATATATATATATATATACTTCGACAAATTTGATAAATAAAAAAATGCAAAAATAAATAACTAGGAGATACAATTAGGGCTAATAATTTTCATACACTCATTACTCTATCACTTAAAATGTTTTCTCTTCAAGTGTCTAATTATTTCATTTGACGTCTATTGAGTGAAATGAAGGAATGAAATGAAAGCATTATGTTAAAAATGGAGTTATTTAAAAATGCCAGGTTAAAGAAAGTGTATCGAAGCATATTTACATATAAATTAGCTTTTATATTATTGATGTATGTGAATGACCATTATGCCTCATTTTCCACCTCCAAAGCATTGATTTACATATAAATATATATGGCTCCCATCAATTATTTATTCGTGCATTTACAAAAATGACAAAAATTTACCTAAATATTTCCAAATGTTTCCAATGAATAGCATGACACTAAGGAGTCTCTGTCAATATCTTCAGAACTAAACACTAAATGTCTCATAACACAACGGCATATTATTCTTTAAACACTGATGATAAATGTATCGAAAAGTGCGTCACAGCAAACCAAAAAACAAATCAAAATAAAACCAAAAACGTAAAAAAGTAAATTAATTCGATAGAATTCACCGAAACCTTGCGAGTCACTGAAAAAAGTAGAGAATATAGTTTAATGCAAATCAATATCCAACACAGTAAAAGAAAACAATGTACAAAAATTAAACCGAATATTCAAATTCATCAAAGCAGCGATAAAAGACTACTGACGCCAATACGATTTTTATTTGAATAATTAAGAATCGATTGTGCTTCTTCATTTAACAAATACACGTGCATCATCGGATTTAAATTTTGGTTTATAAAGAAAATAGAAATATAAATAAGTTGGAAAAGTCGGCCACCGCAATTTTCCACTCTAAAAGTTGATCAATAAAAGTTTCCAACTTCTCTTTCCGCGTTTCTCAAGGTCCTGTTACGATTATTTATTTGCAATAAATAAAGATGTAAAAATAAAGAATCGATCTCAGATATCTCTTACTCAATAAAAACCTAAATTTGTAACATACTAGAATCTATTTTGATTTAAGAGAATAATGTTAAAAATCCTAACAAAAAAAAATTCGTGCAATATCACTCATATTCAAAATCAAATATAAAAACTCTACCTACTAATCTACTTAATACAAAATTTCAGATTTATTTAAATTTGGAAAATAACTAAATTTTATCCCCATGCATTTACCTTTCTTGCGACCCATTTATTTTCTATCTGTCGAGTTTGGTTACTGAATCGTTAAACAGGAACAAGTGGCCATGGGGTTTCTGAATTTTAATAAAAATTTTATAAATTAATTTCTGAAATACTGAATAAAAAATAGCATGCACGAAATTTAATTACATTACGTAATTACATCTCTTTTATCAACTAATGTGTTATAAATATTTAAAATTGCAACTTATAGAGGGAGCGTCCATTAATCATGTGAGGTTTTTAGGGGAAGGGGGGTGGTGTTGACAAAATATCACGTGGGGGGGAGGGGTATAGTAAGATATCACGTGTATTTATTTTTTAACTAATTGTGTTAAAAAAGTTCAAACATTTTCAAAAAAAAATCAAAAATGTTAGATTTTTCACGTAACTAAAAATAAACGTAATGTTTGGTGCGGGAGGGGAGTAATTTTGAATATCACCATGTATCACTAAGGGGAGGGGGGGATCCAAAAATCCTCAAAAACTCGCTCACGTGAATAATGGACGTCTCCTAAGATTGAATAAGATCAAATAAGATTGAATAGCAAAATTAAGCATTAGAGGTCGTCCATTAATCACGTGATCGACTTTTAAAATTGTTTAAATCCCAGCCTTGGTGATACGTAGTGATATTTAAAATTAACCCCCCTTCCCACCCAACATTAAATGTATTTTTAGTGCTTAGAAACATTAGTAACATTTTTGAATTTTCTTTTGAGAATTTTTGGATCTGTTTTAAAATCAGATAAAAAATAAATACACGTATTATCTTACTAGCATGAACATGATATTCAATTTTTTTGTCAACCCCCCCCCCTCCCCCTTTTAAGCCTTGCGTGATAAATTGGTAACCCTTACATATATTTCTCTCTCCTTCGCGAAGAAATCTGTTAAAGGCGTTATAGTCAAGAGAAACATTAGGTACAAATATAAAATTTGAAAATAAACATTGATTTATACCGTTAAATTATCCCTAATTGGGTTGTCAATTTCTGACTACAGTATCAAAGTGTGACTTATGTATAAGGTGACCATATTTTTTTAAAGTCAAAACCGGGACGACAAAACCGGGGGGGGGGGGGTCAGGTTTGGTAATCATTTGTTTATATGAATCTTTTTTTTAAATCAGAATTGAGGACTTTCAGTAAGAACTGTTCGGTGTGAATGTTTTTTTCGCTGTTGATCCTTGTATAAAATTCAATTCATTTTCTTTATAATTTAATTTTCAAAGATATTTGCAATTGTTCGTTTATTATCATAATTTTTGTAAATTTACTTGTGTCCAAACCCGGGAAACGAGGTGGAAATCCGGGACTGTCCCGGCCAAATCGGGACGTATGGTCACCTTACTTATGTACGAAAATCCATGTGCACATATCTTAATTTAAACAAAATATGATAGTTAAGAGGCACAACTAGTGTAACCGCCTAAAAAAAGGGTGATTTTTGGGAATTTATATTAGAAAAACTACTTTATCAATCATTTCAAAATTTTAGGAATATATTTATACATGTTTTAAGAATACATAGTAAAATTTTTGAAGAAAAAAATTAAATATTTTTTAAGTTATCGTCGATCTCCAACGGCGCGACAAAAAAAGGCCCTTCACTGCTGCAGTGATTCCGGCCTTCTCCGTAGATGAAATTTAAAAAAAAATCTCGTTAAACTAGATAATATTGTCTGTAATATGAACTACGATAAAGACAAAAAATCAAAAATTGACAAAATGACGGCGTTTTTTTTAAAAAAAAGTCGAATTTTACCCAAAATTTTGGTCGTTTTTGGACTGCCAAAATTGGATTTTTGATCCGATCAAAAAATCGAAAGTTCATTTTACGGAAAACTATATATAGAACATGTAAAAAAAAAATTGGTAATGATAGGATCATTTGAGTAATCGCTGCAGCAAATTCGGAAAATGCTGTTTGGAGAAAATCGCGTTTAAAGATTAAATGATCCTTATACTATATACTATATATATATACTCTTTAAATGGCTGTGACTCAAAAACTATTTAAGATATCGATTTAAAATTTTGGTATGTTATTTTTAAAGGTATAACCTATCGAAATATGGAAAAGTTGAAAATTCGATTTTTTGAAAATTTCACACTAGTTGTGCCCCTTAAAAGAGGTTAGGTACAAATTTGAAGTTCGAAAATGACCATTGATTTATACCGTTAAATTGTTCCTAATTACGTTGTTTTATTCTGACTAATGTGTCAATGTCTGACTTATGCATGAAAATCCATGTGCACATACCCTAATTTAAACCAAATTTGATAGTTAAGGGAGAGGTTAGGTTCAAATTTGAAGTTTTAAAATGAGCATTGATTTATACAGGTAAATTGTTCCTAACTACTTTGCCAATTTCTGACCAGAGTATCAATGTGTGACTTATGTATAAAAATCTATATGCACATACCCTAATTTAAACACAATATCAGTTATTATGAATGCTTGGAGCTTCAAGTCATATATTACAAAAACCGGACGACCCGCGGCGATCAATGAACCTTAAACGATTATTCAAATTAATTTTAAACGCTACTAGCTGCGACGAAATTCTTGATAAACGTAATAGACATATAATCCTTGACTTTGAGCACAATTTTTCACGTGCGCGTTTTGTACTATTATGAATGAACATTTCATGAGCAGGCTGTGCATGTATTGTATATCGCGAAGTATAGATTCGCGATTCGCGCTCCGCTATTGGCCGAAATTATCGCGCCACATTGGAATAAGGGCCTCGGATTGGTCCAAAAGCACGTCAAGATCAGGGTGGCAATTAGGATTTGGAGGTCTAATTTAATTTTGAATAACTTCACATGTATTCGAATTGTGCGTATTATGCACTTGTTGGCAAATGGTCGTTATTAGATTAAAATAGCAATTCAAACCCACTTAAGAATATTTAGAGTAAAGAGCGACATTTCAATGCAAGGATTTAAGATTTATAACATGCAACAGCGAACAAAATTTGATAACCAGATAATTCTGAATTTGACCAGTATTTGAAATTAAAATTGTATAAAAATATACACCTAGCTTTTCTTTACGATTTTCTATCTAAAGTACATTCATATCCTATTATAATATATAAAATAGTGTTACAAAATCTAACAAGTATTTATTTTGAATTTTTATACATATTAAAAGTTTTTGAAAAAAAAATTTGATTAATGATATAAAACATACTATAAAACTTGAATAAAAATACCGCACAGTAATGGATAAAATATATGAAAATTCCGTATTGATACAAGAATCTTATAAGTTTTCTTTCCAAAATATAACCTTAATAACACAAATTCCTATCACTGACAACTACTTAAAATAATGTATTAACACCCTAAATTGAAAAACTCACCTTAATCCTTGTAAACTATTAATCTCAACCAACACTGTTAGCTTAAGTTCAAAATATAATATATATATTAGAGATTTAAAATAAATGCGAATTGTATCACAGCACTGCACAGTTATTAAAGCTCGACTAAACCTATTTATAAAATTACGTTATCACTGGCTCACATTTTCATTTATCTATTCATTAAACTGTATATTTGATTATTATTGTGATTAACATTGAATAACATTAATATCACTCAATGCGGGTCAAAGCAGCTGACCTAACGATTGATTAAACTAGACTACACTGCCATTTATTTTCTTGACCTATCCGTGCGCCGGCTTTTGTGATAGTGGTTGTAATAAAACTTGTACATTTTAGCACTGGGCTTCATTATGGTTACTAAAACTTAATAATTACTTCATATTTTATCAACAATCAAGATGACTTCAGCCAACGCATTTTAACACTGAAACTCGCTTTGTATAAATAGAATTTTCGAGGTTCTAGCGAATATGACATTTCTCAATGGCTGTCAAACGAATGAAGTTTGACGATTTTTGTTAATTTATTATTTTACTAACTCAAAATATTATTAATACTGAGATTACTCATTTTACTTAAAAACATGACACGTTGCTTTCTTTATATTTACACTTTTCTAAATGAAAATAGAAATTGAGGTTAAGTACTGACAGTTATATCAATGGCTGTCAAATGGGCATTCGCTGTTGACATTTGGTTTGCAACTTTGCTTTTGAAAACATGTTAAATCAATTGACAGTTTGACAGTTCCATTATTATTAATTTAATTTTATTAATTATTTAATAATACTCTTTTTTATTAATATATAAATGATGTTGATGATTAAAATAAATATTTAGGTTCTAAAAAAGACTAAATAAAAATAGGACACCAAATTAGATTCAACATAATGGTTATACAGCTTTGTAATTTAATAGAAAAATGGAAAATTGCCATAAATACAAGCTGTTGAAGTGATTAAAGTTAAATTTTACATCTATGTGAATACTTACATCTATCCCTTTCAAAAATACCCTCTACATCTTCAAAATAGATGTGCCATACAAGTTTAAGTTTAGTTATCCCTTAACCTCCAACAATGTCTTCTTTAATTCGCAAATACTGGTTTCATGCCGGAATCCTATTTGCTATTATCATGGCTATTTTCTATCCATCGCTAGGTGAAATGGGTGGTATGCTACAAAATCACAAATCAAATACTATCAATATATTTGCACTTATTTATTTTCAGGACCCCTGCAACCAGAAATGACGATACCATACATAGTCACACCAATGACCTATTTATTAACTCTCCAAGATCACAATTACTACAAAAACTCGCTAAATAATATGTGACATGTATCAATTATTTTATTTCTGTGCTACATCATAAGCCCGGTGGTTGCGTACAGCATTGCAACAATAGCAAAATTATTTTCAGTTAATGAATGGATCTTGAAAGGGTATTACTTATAAGATTATTTTTATGTTAATTTTCAATTGTTCTTTTTTAGATACTTACTTACTTACAAATGCATTGAATCATCAAGTTATAATTTTTTTAAATAATTTGTTACTCATAAGTAGTTTACTCAAATCAAAGTATGCAGACTTCATAAAAGTGCAAAAAGTGGTTTCAATCAATCAATTTTATCGAATTCATTTATAATTTTAATGTTGTTAATAAAAGTTTACTAATTACATTTATAGTCTTATATAATTACAAACTTACAAGCATAAATCTCTTTAATCCAATACTATATCATATTATAGACTCGTGGCAACCAGTTGTATGCCTCCCCCGTTGTCTTCTGGGCTACTGTTATGTTCCATAACAAATAACAAGAACCAGAAAATAAGAGAATTTGAATTTACCTACAACACATTTTGATCAAGAAATTATAGATATCTCAAATCTTCCAGATAACTTATTAACTGCTGGTTTAACCTGTGTTATTGGTGCAATTGTTGGCTGTGTAGCTACACCGTATTACTGTTCATTTTTGTATGTACCCAATTAATGATGATCATAAAATAATATAAAATATTACTGAATTTAATTATTGTCAATTACAGATAGGCGTAGGTGCTATACCGATGGTTATAGAATGCTTAATTGCCTCATTGATAGCTTTAATATCATTAGGTGTTTGTTTTTCTGTCCAATAAGGATTTGCTTTGGGTATATCAAACTTTATTTTTTTATGTATTCAACTTGTTATAAGAGTTAAATACTATTTTAGCAAAACGAATTGTAACTTGGCAATCGCACAAATGCTAATGCTATTCTCCCTTTACTGTGATATGTGTGATGTCTTCATAGAAGCCCAAGGAGGACTTCAAGCAATTGACGTTCTAGCTAGTTTATTACTAGGTATGATTTTTGGAGCAATAACTTTTTATTTCATAAGCTCTTCTTTGATATCTGAAAAGTATGTAACATAGTTATTCTTATTTTCAGTGTTCTTATTGCAATTTGTTCTACTTGTAATGTCAAAAATTATCTGTAATGCAGATAATAATTCAAATTTATTGATTCCAATGATATTTTGTGGCACACATAAATCCGTAACATTAGGTAAGACAATAAATAAAACCTATTCTGTTTACTTGATACATTGTTACATATATAATTGATATTTTTTTCAATCATTCTAATTTCATTAAAGTTGATTATTACTTGTTATTTAAAATAAATGTTTCTGAAAAAGCAATGAGTACAATGATTAATAATATTGAGACAATATTCTAATTGATTTAACTGTACTCATTACAAATTTTATTTAATATGACAATAGAATCAAATGTATTTTTTACATATTTATTTTATTTATAGGATTCCCTATTATGCAAACAATGTTTGGCGGGTTGTCACATCATATGTTCTTCAGTCTACTTTATTACTTTACTATGCAACGCAAATGTTTATGGCCATGTTATTGATTCAATCTGGCTATTTGAATATTTATTGAATCGTTTCCAGATAAAAAAAATTAAATTAAAATAATAAGGTAGTGTATTAATAACTAAGTTTTTTATTAAGTAATAGAAATATTTATATAAAATGTAGAAGAAATTTTTGAGTCGGCGCACAATATTGAAGCACACATTTTTAACTTATAATATTATTAAACAAATTTATATAATAATGTTCTATAAGTCTTCTTGCAAAATTTGCTAGTAATAAAATAATTGGAAATTGATAGAGCCGTTTTACTTACATCTTTAATAATTTAGGACAAATAAGCACTCTAACAGTTTCAATATTATAAATCTTGATACGAAGCCCATAGAAATGTAAAAAAAAATGTATACTTATTATTGAAAATTTAATAAAACATCTGATAATTTGATGTGCATGTCGAAATGATCATTTTGACTGACAAATGGTATTTTTTTATAAACTTTTAAGTTTTATTTCTGTAACCGCTGGACATACCTTTCCAAAAATTTAATCAATTTCTTAATTTGTTAATTCAAATAAAATGTTTT